ATTGGTGGCTATTTGCAGTAGAGGATACTTCTATGTGGTTTAGTCCTACTTACAAACATTCACGTGATGCTTACCGTGAAATGATGCATTTGGTGTCTAGGACAAGAATATGGTTCCAAAGTGTTTGTTGCATTGGAATTTTGAGAATTGACAATTCATTCCAAATTGGTTGAAGACTTAATTCATTCGAATTGTTTTCTTTAGTCTACAAGCCAAATCACTGGAACAAGCATCAAGGTACGTAGAATATTATATTTTCTTTGGAAATGTTTAGTATGCGTAGTATAATAATTTGCATGACGTCTTGTTTCTTGATTGGATCTTCACAAACGTGATTTGGTTGTGGCAATTTGATTATCACAAACGTGATTTGGTTGTGGCAATTTGATTATCAACATGTCATTGGAAATTGCCAAATTGAGTGAAGAATAACGAAAGAGGCGTAATTATAATTATGAAACATTTTTAAAGTTTAGTGTAAGTGCCAGCCTTCAATGTTTGGCATGTGCACACTGCACCTTAACCCGCAAATTATTGGTTCAAGTTTGATTATCAACGATGATAAGAAGGTTTGCGGTCCACCAACTTTGATTGATAAATCTTCGGCGCAAGTGAAACCTTTTGTCAAGAATTCAAGGCATGTTGAATTCAAAAGATCATGTTTCAAGCGAGGTTAAGGCATGTTGGACACAGTCTGATTATAACATGATAAGGCACATAATTTTTTTTGTTTAATGAATGGTGAATTTTGATCAAGAAATCGAAAAGCTACGTGTATTTATACATTGAGATTATACTACTAATTCGGGTTTTATTAAATTCCCACTGCTCAACAGAAGTTAGTTCTGTTTCGAGAAATAATTTATTAAATTCTCGTCGTTTAACAGAAATTGGTTCTGTTTTGGGTTTTAATCACGTTGTCCAACAGAAGTTAGTTTTGTTTCGGATTTTAGTTTTAAATCCTGACATTTAACGAATTCAACAAAATAGTGTTGATTGTACATTTTTTTTGGGTTTTAGTTTTACTAAATTCCCGCCATTTAACAGAAATTACTCAATTGTTGGATTTTAGTTTTGACTAAAATTCATTGCGATAAATAAGGTACCGAACAAAATTATTATATGTATGTGAACAAAAATCGGGCCTATAATTATGTTTCAGGATTTTAATCCTATTGTTCAACAAATTTATTTGATTTACTGTTGATAACAAAAATCATTTGGAGGTAACAACATTGTTACAAATTTTGTTTTAGAATTTTAATTTCTAATTAAATTTTGTTGTTCAACATAAACAAATAGTAAAATAAATTGAATTAACTTTCAATTTATTGTTGAAATATTTACAAATTTTGGTTACATGTTTTAAACGAAACAATGGTAACCCCACCGATTCACCTAACTCGTGATTTGAAATGTTGATTCCTATTCATACTTTGAATAAAATTCAACGATGTCAGTGGTTGTGATCCACAACAAGAAGCATGTGAAATTCATAGATAGAATTTCAAGACATAGCGACAGAAGATGTTATATTTAAGCATCTTGAATATGGTCAAATATAGGATGATCCTCCTATTCATAGAGAGGATGAGATAGACATTGTTGTCATTAAAGCTTGAAAGCATTCTAAATTTCTATGTCGGAATTACATCTTAAATGGATTGTCAGATACACCATATGAAGTGTATAGTATCCATAAGATTCTAAAGAATTATGAATGACATTTGGTCATGTTCTGAGTTGTCATAGAACATGCGGAAGAAGCTATTTTATTAGCAAATTACCTTAAATAAGGTAACTTACAAGAAAATAGGCGAGACAACATATGAGTTATGAAAATGTAGAAAACTTTCCTACAACTACATCAAAGTGTGGGGGTGCCTTGTATAATTATAATGGTAAGTCGAACACATACGTCGTCGACATAATATCATTAAACAATTGATCTCAACTAGAGTTATCTATATTGATTTTGTAAGATCAAAAGATAATATTGTGGATCCGCTAGATCAAGTTGACAAACATCGAAAGGAATGTGATTAAAGCCCATTAATATTTAAGGCGCTATGTGGAGGAAAACCCAACTTAGTTGATTGGAGATCCCAAGATCTAAGTTCAATAGGACAACCCACTTGCATAGACCTTGTGAGGTCAGTGTGGGGGTTTTTATCCCCAAGTCCATTCCTATGATAAAAACAGTGACTAAAATGTGGAAAAGGTTAAGCAATGCTTTTAATGACCACTATGTGTTTCGATGAGCCAAACAACATAAGTCACCTATGTGAGAGTGAAGTGGAGCCGCTTCAAAGAGACTATTGGGGCATAGTTCTCTAAACTCTTGCAGAACCAGGAGATGTCCACGGCTATATGGACATAACCATGAGAACCAAATTCTTGTCAGTAAGATAATTGTGTGAGGTATGTCATCGTTTACACCAACGACAGGACAGTTCAAAGACATTGCGTCTACTGGACAACCAGTAAGGTAAACATATTTTCACAAGGGAAGGTTCAAAGGGGAACGCCTACCTATCCTATGCAAATATCAAACGTAAAATCTATCACCATATCGAGTCAGTGGTTGAAATCATCAATTTCATTCTTGTGGGAATTGTTGAAAAAATTAATAAATAATTGAATAAAATTGATGTCTTTTAGTAATAAGTTATGTCACTTGGTGAACAGACTTATTATTTGGTATAAAATTACATCAATTCAATTATACATATTAGCTTTTCAACAAATCTCTTCATCAAAAGGTCATAACCTTTTGATTAATTTCCTCTCCCCTATATATAGGTTAGTTGAGGCACAATCTTAAAAACAACTTTGAGACACAATTCACAAAAATGAATTAGGAAATCACTTAGAAAATTCCTTTCAAATTCGTTCTTTCCGGTAATAGAGAAAGGCAAGATTGTGTTTGACTGATCACAACGTTATGCTTATTGTTGTGATCTTTTGTTGTTGTATCCTGGAAGACCGACGTCCAACGTTACTAAAAGCACCGAGGAGAGGACGAATTTGTCTTAAGGAAACTGTTCATATAGGCCTAAACAAAAATCATTCTTCGGTTTATCATACTCTACTCATCCGATTCATTCTCTAAATATGAGTAAACCAATTTCTTGCCTCTACTTTAAGTTTTATTTATTTTGCTTCATTTGATTATATAATAATATTTATTATTATTATTATTTTTATCTCGGATTAACCATTTTTTCTAACAAGTTTAAATAGGTTATAAAATGCACTGCAATCAGAGAAGATTTTTAAGAAGGAAAAATCAGTTGGAAATGCTAGTTTGATTAAGGTAGTGAAGATGCTAAAACAAATTGCATTAGACAAGTGGGGCAATGATGCTAGGAACATCCTAAAATATGTTAGTGTACAATTATCGCTTCCTAATGACCATGAAAACATGTTTGTGTGGTTACAGTTAAACATTTTTCAATTTCACCTGAATGTAAAATGTTAGGTTTCATGTGTCTCAGATTATCTGCTTAATCTTTGCAAAGGTTCTTGAACCCTATCATTGGTATTTAGTTAGTTTTGGTACATTTTTATGAGTTGTCAGGGTTAAGGCAATGCTATTAAGAGTGAATTATTTATTTCCAGAATTATAACAGGTGAATTAAGAATTATCCACGATCCGGCTAGCTTCAAACTTAATTATCTTCTTGTTAGATATTTAGGAGTCCCTCTTATTATAAGGAAACTAATTAAAAAAACTGTCAAAGTCTTTTGGAAAAGATCAAAGCAACACTTAGACAATGATCTAATAAGAACCTTAGCTATGTTGGTGGGCTGCATCTCATTCTTTCTATCTTGTTTAGTATTACAAACTATTGGTGCATGTAACTTGTTCTTCGTAAAGTTGTGGTGAAAAAGTAAATCACCTTTGTGCTTGATTTGTTTTGGAAGGATAATAGTTCTTTAGCGGCTACTGCTAAAATATCCTGACAAGTGAAGGCTCCTCATGGGTTGCTGAGTCAACACATGTGTTATTAAAGGGGTTGGTTTCATGCATGTGGATAATAAGAATTCCATGAATTTGAGCTTAAGAAAATTGTTTATGTTGAGGCATGAAGCTTCTGTCGTTGAAAAGTACTAGAATTATTTGATATGAGATTCAAATTAAAAGAGTCCTTTAGCACAATTTGATTTGGTTTCCTTTCTATGTATCAAAACATGCTATAAATGAAAATTGAAGTTGATGGTCACTGCATAATATGTGGTACTGCGTTTAAAACTTGAAATATTTTTCTCTGAATGTTTATTTTCAAGGAACATTTGGGAAACTATTCTTGCAGTGCGCAATCTGAATAGAAGTGTACTTGACTGGAAGTCTGGGAGGAGGAGCTGAATAGAAATGTACTTATTCGAAGGGTAAATCCTTAATCACTTTCATCTTTAAGTTAATCTGGAGTGCTTTCATTTGTTTCATCTGGGAGAAAATAAATATGAGACTGTTTAGGGTACATTCAAGGAATGAAGAAGGAATTTCAAGTTTTATCATCAAATTAGTTAGAATTAAGTTCCACCATAAATGTCGGATGTGTTTGATCTTACAACTTTATACAGTTTAGGACATTCTTGTTTAAAATATTTATTTTTTTAATATTACTCTTGCATTATTGTTTAGGTGATAACATGTACAAATTAAAAAAAAACAAGAACATTGTGCTTTTAACTTTAATTCAGAAATCTTCAGTGTTTTAAAATGCAAGAAATCAGAAGTGGAAGCACTTGAACAAAAAAAGTACACAAAAGGGAGCACAAACAAGTTCTAACATTAACAAATTATTCACAAAGAACAATCCAAAATGGGAAAAGTTCCCACAATCCAAATTTGGATATTTAATATAAAACACAAACTTCATTAATAATTAATCAAAGTTTATATGACAAATTCACACCCATGGATATAGAAACTTGAGAACTTCTGCTAAAAACCATACATTAACATTGAACTCTGGGAACTCTGGCAAATTCAACACTGATATGGGGAAACTGAACCCCTTATTTACCATAAGCACTACAGATGTATTTGAAACCCACTTATCTTGTTATCTTCAATTCCTTGTCTTATACTTGTAAGAAGGAATTATTGCATCACTTGTCCCCAAACAGGTAACCCAGAGAGGAATCTCCGCCAGGAACTGATTTAACTTTCGTTGACGGACGATCCTGCAATTTTTACAACACTCTTACTAATTAGGTTAAAATATATATACATATATACACATGACAAAAGTAATAACTCACAGTGATGAAGTTTCCTGAATTCTGTCCTTTAGCCCTATGATAGTTGTTGATGATGTTTTTCTCAGTCTGTTTCTGTGAACATGGTTTATTCTGCAACGGAGGGTTGTCTGGGGTAATATCTATGCCATATGGAGGCTGGATCGGTGGCGTTTCAGTCGGTGCACTTGGCTTCTCATCAGCACCAAAGAGGTAGCCCAAGGAACTTTGGCCGCCGCCGTAGCTGCAACCTCTACTCATGTTTCTGGAGAAGTGCAAGATTTAGTGAAGTAAATTTCAAACAAGGGGATGGAACCCTAATATATAATGTGCTTCCGGGACTGTGGTTGTATGGTTGGGTTTATGTGCATGTGCATGCATGTTTTAACATATGCATCATATTCATATACATGTTTTAACATATGCGTCATATTCATGTACATGTTTTGACATATACTTGGCCATAGCAAATAGCAATAAATAGTAAGATAAAGCAAACTAAATATTGAAAAATGCAAGTGTGTTAGCAGTGGCGGACGGTAATGGAGATTGAGAGGCCAATTTTTTTTGGAAAACTAACATTTGACACTTTGGAATTTAAAAGATGTTTAATTTGGTACCTCAAAATGTTTATAACTTTCCATTATGTTTTAAAAAGCTTAAATATTTTTAATTAAATTCCCTATAAGAATTTTTTAAAGTTTTCATTAAATCTCTCAGAATTATTAAAATTTTTAGTTAATCATCCAATTTTTTTAGAAAAAAATTAAACGAAACCTTTAAATTTAAATTCCCTCTACAATTTTTAAAAATTTCAAATAAATTATCCCCCACTCTTTCATCAAAACTGTCACCGTGTGTTCGAAAGGGGTATCTTATGGATGCTTATCTTTGACCTAACTTGTATGTATGTAAATGGATTAATTTCTAGGTGAGGTTAGGAGTGAATGAACAAAGCATTCAATAAATGTTCGTGAATCGTTTGTACAATATTTATTTATGTCCGTTTAAATAAATGTTATATGAATGAATCAAACATAAACACTTCTAAAAATAAATAAATTAACATAAACAAAATTCATTAAAAAAAGATTCCAAGATAGTCCTGGATGTATGTTCTATATAATTTCTTGAAGCCGGGTAGCGAGGTTTTTCAATCATGAGAGCATGGATTCAAACCCTATCCCGCTCCAACCCTAAATTTTATATTGCAGAAACGTCATTATTTACAAAAGAATAATTGCAACTCCATAACTGTTTCTCTGCAAAAGAAGAGATCAGTTGGTTGTGTTCAAATCAAGCAGATGCCATTGAAACCAATACAAGTAATAAACAATAATTTTGAGGATTTAGTGGTTCTTAATTCAATACTGTTTACAGGTAATCCACGTTGGGATTGCTTAACCCACCTATCATTACTTTAATACGTGGTTAACCTTGGTCCCATTTGCTGTTGGACTACTGTTGAGGCATCTGGGGGCTATTTTACTGTAATATAAAAAAATTGAATACTCATTTTAGATTATTTCTTAGATTGATATTCTTTTTTATTACGTAAGACAACAATGTATTACGTGGAAAATACTTTCAAAAATTTTGTTTATGTGACATAAATCGATCAAAATTTTAAAAGTTATGCTAAAATTAAAGAAAAAGGGAAAGAGAGTAAAAATATTAAAAATATATAAGATTTTTGTCAAAACAAATTAAAGGCACATAGTGTGTTTAAGACAAATACTTACACAAACACAAACACAAACTTAAGTTGAACAACACATATGTATTAAAATTATCTTCAATCACTTAATAAATGCATATTTAAAAGATTATTTAAACATTTAAAAATTCTCATATTTAAACAATGTGGGATTTAAGAAGCTCATGACCAAATATATTGATTTTAAGTTCTCAAAAACATGTCTTGAACTTAATCAGACTAGGTCCTAAACTCTGTCAATTATTGTCTTTTGAAATACTCAATATCCCACTATAAAAAATTATCTTTAACGTCATATTGACACCAGTCTCTTTAAGTTTAGGATATGTCTTTGACAATTCAAAGTTAACATGTTCGGTCATAACTTCTTAAATCTCATATTATGTAAATGTGAGTTTTTTAAATGTTTAAATATAGTTTTTTAAACATATACATATTAAGTGATTGAAAATAAGGTTAATTAATATGAGTTGTTGCTGTCGTTCGACCTATACTCGTGCTCATATAATTACATATTTTTGACAAGCATTGTGTGCATTTAATATTTTTATACAAAGTTCATATAAATTTTGAATATTTTTTACTTCTCTTTCGTAACACCCCAAAATTTAATTAAAAGAAAGTTAAGGACCAAATTGTAATTTTTTAAAAGTTGTAGCTCGGTTTTGGAACCTGTGCAAAGTTTAGGGACTAACCCTAAATTAAACCATTTTTTGTTAGTAGAAAATAAACCCCTCAGCGAGCAAACCAACTCTAATCCCCGAACTCATTTTCCCCAACAACAACCCTCACCGTTGATTATTACCCTCCGACCATATATAGCGACCACCCACGTCATCAGCAAAATTAGTGGCGTCCCGCGAACTAACCCCGACCCCTGGTGTACCTAGATCGACTGTCATTCATGGAGAATAAAGGAGAAATCGTTCATGCTCTCCTTCGTCGACTCTCTCTCTTCTGACTAGCGGTACATGTCATCACCCATTCTAGTGAATATGTTATCTCAGGCCGTGGGTAGCCGTTCGAAGATCGTCGGAGAAACTTGGGTCACACCTTGGTTTATTGCAAATTTCGGCCGATCCGACCACCGTCTCGTCTCACCGCCCTTCCCATCAAGTTCCCTATCTCCGTGCGACCAAAACCCAGTCGGGTTCATCACCCATCGTCGTCGTTTTTGCCAATCGCCAGTGTGGGTAAGCTTTTCGGCCCTTTTATTTTATTTCTGATGGATTTTGGCTGATGCTGAGTTAATTATGGCTTGAAAAATGGTGTTTAGCTGCTTGTGGAGTGATCTATCGACCGTCATAAGCCTGTCTTCGTTGTCAAGCGCCGCCGTACGTGCGTGGGCTATGTCTCTTAACTCTAGTTTCTTTTAGAATGGTCTGGACCAGCCTGAACAGGCCAACCCGATTTGAACCGGGTCTGTTTGACCCGAAACGAGTCAACCTGTTAACTTTGACCAGAGAGTTGACCGTTGACTTTGACCCAAAAAGTTAAATTTTTTGAAAAGTCATATTTTATGTTTTTCGATGTCTTGAGTCCGATTTTGATGTCCATTTTACCAAATTCACACTCAATAAGCCATTTTCAGTGTTTTATCTTCAGATTGAAATTGGTTTTTCGATTAAGCTTAGTTTCTGGCGTAAATTTGTTTGCTATGTATCCGAGACATTATGGGACGTGGAATTAAAGTTCGAGGGTGATCGAATGGAGTTTTAATGGTAAATTGATAAGGCTCGTAAATTGATGTAATACTTTACTATCCATTGCATGTTGTATGGTACAAGTTAGGTATTGATTAATACATAAATAAATATGTTTTAGGCTTGGGATAAATATTAGTTATTCTAAACCTATATTGATCTTGATAAAATGTCGAAGATGCCTTTCGAACACAAATATGACACGATTTACCCATGATAGTCGAAACGACTTAGAATAAATGAATGAGGATAAAACGACTTAGAATAAATGAATGAGGATAAACCCTGTAAGCAATTTAACCTAAGGATTGAACTACCTCTAAAGGTCTTCTAACAAGGCCCAAGATCGTTGACTATATACAATTGTAATACAGAAATACATAATATCATTGAAATAAATGTTCGTCTCCTCATGATTATTTCTAATGGTGTCATGATGGTGTCTAGTTTAACTAGTGTAATCAATATTCATAAATGAATCTTTGGAATGATATCAGTCCGAATGATTAGTGAGTATCGCGGTGTTGATATCTGTTCAACCTTATTTGACCCAGAACCATGATAATTCAATATAAATCTTGAATAGGACAAATTATCATTAAATTATTAAGTATTATTTCAAGCCCAAAATGAAAAAAATAACCATATAGAGTAAAATTAGAAAAATGCCCTTGCACTACAAAAGACCCAAATTACCCCTAAAAGTGAAAAATAACCTTGTAAGGGCATATCTGACATAATTACCAAAAAGGTACCTATGTTTGGATTAATCAGAATTACCGGAATGTCCTCGAGTTGCGGAACAACTAAATAACCTCTAATATTCAAATAACCAAAATGCCCATTGAAGTGTGAAATAATTTAAAATACCCCTAAGCCTAAAATGATTTAACCATATAGAGTAAAATTAGAAAAATGCCCTTGCACTACAAAAGACCCAAATTACCCCTAAAAGTGAAAAATAACCTTGTAAGGGCATATCTGACATAATTACCAAAAGGTACCTATGTGGATTAATCAGAATTACCGGAATGTCCTCGAGTTGCGGAACAACTAAATAACCTCTAATATTCAAATAACCAAAATGCCCATTGAAGTGTGAAATAATATAAAATACCCCTAAGCCTAAAATGATTTAATGTCTTAAAATCTGGAATGAATAAATATAATTCAAATACCAGAATGATCTAAATACCCTCATGACTTGGATAACTTCTCAAGATAACGGTGAAGCTTTAAATGTTATAACGCCCCTGAGTTTTTTTAGAGTACGAACTAGTAGGTCGATCATCCCCAATACTATTACAATTTGGGAAGTTATTAAATACCACTTAAATACCCATTTGTCTCTTTGAGAACGGATATGATAAATCACCATCATATTATTATTTAATAAATTTATTGATAATTTTTCAGGAATCGTAATGTCTAAAATGCCCTGTTGGCTTGAATAATGGAACCACTCTTAGTAAATCTGAATATTGAATTATACTGATATAAAGGTTCCTGAAGACCTTCCTGATGCACCTGAATCATAAAGAGATCCTGAAGTATCAATTTTAAATGTATGCTTAGATTCGTTAATAGTCGATCATTTTTTAATAGGACCTCGTCCTTGGAAACTGATCAAATTACATAAGTTTCATGTTTTTCATTCCTGATAACTACCATTTGTCTCTGGAAAATATGTGGATCCTTTAGTGTGTTCCCTATGTTCTACATGACTGTTTTATCTATTTTGAAATATGTTTCACCAAAATTTATGATTTACTGGTTGATGGCTTATGAACTATGGCTACATGATATGTGTTCTTTTGATGACATGTTTTCACTGGAAAATATAATCGTTCCTGATTTATGGATCATGGGATCTACTGGTTA